GTATGCCTATGTAAGATCAGTATGCCTTACTCTTTATGTATATATTACACTTCAATAAAAAGTAGTATAGGACATTTTAATTTTCTTCTTTTCGCTATGTGTTCTAAATTTCTCTTTTTTTCTCAGCTGTATTTTCCAAGAAGTCTAAAATGAAGACATGATAAATTGTAAGGAGAGAAAAATAGAAGTTATTTTTTAAAAGCTAGAGTTGAATACCAGCTACCTATCCAGATTTAGTGCCTTGAGCCCTGGACCCAGCTAAAAATAGCTCAGGGCCTTGCCAGCCTGTGACCCAGGAGCTGGACAATGTTTAGCAGACGCAGCACGCGAGTGAAATGGGGTGGAGTCAAGTGGAGGCTGCTGGGTGCGGTAGGCTTGGCTACACCCAGCAGGCTGTTTAGACCATATTTGTCATCAGCAACTGGCTGTTTCCTCCACTGCAGATCAACAGCGGAGTGTAGGCTCCCAGTTTACTTCCGAGTGGCAATGAAAGGGAGGAACAAGAATGCATACTGATTAGAAGGGGTAGAGGTCCAGTGCTGTAAGCAGATTGGACCTAAAGGAAATCAGAGTAGCTAACCCAGGGTATACCTTCCTTTGCTCTTCACCAGGTTAGACTTGTAATTTTTCTTTCGGCAAACACGTATTCATTTGTCTACAACTCAGTTTTTTTAAAAAAATTTTAATGTTTATTTAGTTTTGGGGGGGGGAGGGGCAGAGAGAGGGAGACACAGAAATCAAACCAGGCTCCAGGCTGTGAGCTGTCAGCACAGAGCCCAACACAGGGCTAGAACCCATGAACCATGAGAGATCATGACCTGAGCCAAAGTCTGATGCTTAACCAACTGAACCACCCAGGAGCCCCGTCTACAGCTCGGTTTTAAAGGTTATGCTCAAGTTTGAGGAAATCAGTTGCAGAGCTATTTAGATTGTAATGATAAGAAGCTCCCTGAATGGTTTTGCTGCTGAATCAGCTTAACCTGAAGAATTGCCTTCATTTGACCTCTTCCTTTAATGTGCCTATCTCAAATGCAGGAACAACTAGTAATTATCCCGTCACAGGGATGTTTTGCAGCTTAATTAATGTTTATAACCTGCTGTGAAGTATTCAGATGAAGAGAGAGTTGATAGGAATGGTGCCGTGCTAAGTTTAATTTACAAACTCTGACAAGTCACAAAAGTGGTATGTGGTACTGTGTTTTCAAGGGTGCCAGCATGCTGTCTCCAAGATCCCACCTGGTCTGATTGCAATCGGCGTCACTCAGCCCGTATGACTCACAAGGACTCTCTACATTTTGTTCATTTGTTAAAGGACAGTATAAATATGGCAGTAATTCATAACAAGTGACAACATTTAGGGAGATGACTTTAAACAAGTTGGAATGTTGCTGTTGTCCGTAGACAGAAATTTTAGCCCCAAAAGAAGATGCAATTGAACTTTTAAGACAGGGGGAGGAAATGTCAAACTCCGAGATCAAATAGCTTTAAGTCAAACCCTGTGGATGCCGTAAGAAACCTTCCCCCAAATAATCTATCCTGCTGCAGTATTCGAAATGACTTAGGATACTATCTTTTCCACCCTTAAGAAGCAGAAACGCTGAAAGCCCATCTATGAAAAACAGTCTGGAAGATACTACTAAGACTCTGTCAAGAGCACACTCTTCCTTATTACCATAGAGAGTAAACTCGAGTTTGCTTGATTAAAAAACTTAAGTCTGTGATCAAACAGGAATGTAGTGGGCTGAATAATGACAGTGAAGATGGTAACAATAATAGTGGTAATACTACTAATAATAGCAAGCATGTTTTGAGGGCTTACTAGGTGCCAGACACTGGTCTAAAAGCTTTGCCTGTCTTGACTCACTTGATCCCGGCAATAGTCCTAGAAGATAAGACCTATTATCACCTCTATTTTACAGACAAATAAACTGAGTCTTGGTGAAGTTAAGTAAGCAACTTGCCTAAGGTTATACAGCTTTGCAGTGTGCTTACAGTTCCCTGGAAAGCTAGTTAAAATGAATATTGCCAGCCCAAGATCAGAGATTTTGATTCAGAAGTGTGGGTGGGATAGGGCCTAGAAAAATGCATTTCTAATAAACACCCGAGGCAAATTTACTGTAGGTGGCCTTTTGATCCCCCTTTGGGAAATAGTGGCCCAGACTTAGGAAAATGAGAGGCTAGGAGACAGCCTTTGTCAGTGTTTCTTCAGCACTGGCTTTCCCTGTCCAGCTGAATAGTAGATCATTTGCCCAGCTGGGACTGCATGTCCTTGTAGTGAAAAGAGACTGTATCAAGCTGCCATTGCTTAATGAAAATAGCCCTTCAAAACATCCTACTTGATTTGTTCAGTTTCCATATTTAACATTTAACCTTTCTGACTTTAATTTGATTTCTTAGTAGATTTTCTTCCCAGGAAGAGTCTGGGTTGACCAACAGACATGAATTTCAGCTGGTAGATACACCTCTCACAGGTAATAAATAAATGGTGTTGTAATTTATTTTTAAATTTAGTTTAACTTTCAAATTTTTATTTAAATTCCAGTTAGTTAACATATAACTCATAATATGAGTTACCCAGGGCTCATCACAAGTGCCCTCCTTAATACCCATCCCCCAGCTAGCCCATCCCCCACCCACCTCTCCTCCATCAACCCTCAGTTTGTTCTCTATCATCTCATGGTTTGCTTCTCTCTCTCTCTGCCTTTGGTTGTACTTTATTAATTGACTTATTATAACTCTGATTAATGTGAATCAATTCTCTCCTGAATGAACTGAGAACAATAGTTTATGAACCTGTAAACCTCAGGGCCAACATACGTTTCAAAGCCTTATTTATCCTTTCCTAGCACACGCATATTACTGCGCTGGAAGATACATTTTGAGACAGAGAATGTTGATACCTCCAATTCTTCAAAAGGGTGAGTTTATCAAGTTTAACAAAACAATTCGCAAAAAGTCATTCACATGGCTTTCATCTTGCCATTCCTCAAAAATCATTCATTTACTCTTCTATCCTTGGCTTTTAAACACCTGTGACCTCTGAGATATTGAAGGCCATGATGATGAACTTTCTACATCCTTGTCCTTTTACTCTTCTCAAATGTCATTTGTCTGATTTGGAGCACAGATCTGGAAAAGACACACAAATGAGCTTGGCCAGAGACAATTCTGTGGAGACTGAACCAACCCATATTATACACCCACTTTTCCTTATATTTTTAAAATAGAGCAAAAACATGAGGCACTGTAAAGCAGTTATAGTTTCCATGGTCCCTCTCCATGAGGAAATCAAGGTATTTGCTCCTGCACACATTCCACAGCTTATGCTCTGGGTAAGACCTGTTGCCACCCTCCTCCCTGCTGGCCACACTCCAGCTGTACTACCTTTCTCTTCCCACACTCACCAAACCTGTTCCACCTCCTTCGTCCTGTACCTCTGATGTTTTTTACTCACATCTTGCTATAATTGGCTCCTCTGTCTCTCAGGTCTCAGCCTTAACATGGCCCTTCAGAGAGGCCTTCATTGATGACCCCATCGAAAGCAGTCACTATTACATTATTCAGTCTTATTCTCTGTACAGCACTTACCGGTTGCTGATATTTTTCTTGTTTATTTGTTTTTTTATAGTCTGTCTCCCTCAACGAGAGTGTAAGCCCCATTGGGTCAAGAATCTTCTATTAGATCATATTTTCACTTTTATATCTATAGTGCTCAAAACTATGCCTAACACAGGAGAGATGCTTGGGGAAGAAAAAAAGGAAGACAATGGGGAGGGTCATTTCTGATCTGAGGCTGATTCTGATCGTCAGAGGCATCCGATCGGCTATCTCTTTGCTTAAGAGTAAAATATTTTTATCCACCTCCTTTGGAAACAAATTAGAGATCTTAAAGATGTGTTGACTTTATTGCATAAGACTATTTAACAGAGGTTAAAAAAACAATGAGTTACACTGAGAGGCTTCACTAGATATTTGTCATCATTAGCTCAGTCTAAGTAGTTATTATAATATGAAATCAGGAAGAACTGTTTAGGTGCTTGAATTCAGGCAGTTAAGTTTCAAAGTATAATAAAAACAGTTATACTAAAAGGCTTATTTTCCAAAGAACTGAAAGATACCTTGATGGTAATCAATGGGGGAATAGTAAAGTATCTTCCCATAGAAATAGGAAATGAAGGTGCCTTCTAAGAGTTAAATCATTAAGGCACGTGTGCACGCACGCACACACACACACACACACACACACACATTTACACAGATTATAAATTGACTGAAGGAGTAAACTGATAGTTAACCAGTGTATAACTGAAGACTTTGGAAACATCTGTAACTTCAGCCAAGGTGACATGAGGGTAATCTCAAGGATGGCAAACACCAGAATGTAACTGTTGATTCAAAACCTGTAAAGCTGGGTCGCCTAGGTGGCTTAGTCGGTTAAGCGTCCGACTTTTGCTTAGGTCATGATCTCGCGGTTTGTGGGTTCAAGCCCCGCGTCGGGCTCTGTGCTGACTGCCAGCTCAGAGCCTGGAGCCTGTTTCAGAGTCTGTGACTCCCTCTCTCTCTGACCCTCCCCTGCTCACGCTGTCTCTCTCTCTCCTAGAGATAAATAAATATATTAAAAAAAAAAAAACCTGTAAAGCTAATCAACTGTTTGGAGAAAGCCTGGATGAATAGAGATGGTGAGCAGAGGTGCAATCAGCCTATCATGGAAAATCTATGCCTAAGAAGCCAGAAGTTGAGAACACCTTCCCAAATACTGTGCAGGGGACAGGGGAAAAGGAGCCTTGGTCCAAGGACTTGAACTTTCAGGTGTCTGTGGCAATGATAAGTCATCTGTCTACCTCTTCTTATTCAGAGTTTGTGCTCTAAGTACAGAATTTGAATGACTTTGCTCCCTGTCTATAGGGATCTGCTGATATTAGAACCCATCTGATAGCTGGTTGCATTTATCATTAACCTGGAATACACTTTGTTGTTATTATTTTTTAAAGTAAGCTCCAGGCCCAACGTGGGTCTTGAACTCACAACCTTGGGATCGAGAGTCCTACACTCTACCAACTGAGCCAGCCAGACACCCTCAAAATGGAATACACTTTAATTCTGGCTATGCAGCAGTCTCTTTGAGCTTGAATTAACATGAGGCTACTCCTGAAATAAAGTTTGAGAGCAGAGTGACTTGTGCTGGCTCCATACCGCATGGCAGAGGATGGACCAGAGTTTATGCTGCCTGTGACAGGCTGGCTCTGAGAAGACAAGGGCTGACCTAAGCTCAGTTCTTTCTCTCAAGCACACTAGTGCTATAACTCATGTTCCGAGAAGATATTGAGTGACATAAAGATGAGAGGCTGGGAATGTATTCCAGCTGGACGCATCCTTCTGCACGGCTTTACCAGAGGAGCCACAAGTGCCACATTCTGGTCCCTGGGGTGACAAACTTTCCCTGCAAAGGACCAGATAATGAACACATTAAACTTTGCTCATTGAGAAGAAAAGTGAGCCCAGAAAGGGAATGCGGACCGGAGGGGCCAGACAAGAGCCATTGCCTCCTAGAACACTTGGGAGAACTCGGGTTACCAAAACTCAAGGTGGAGGTGGTGAAGGGCAAGATGAGACTTTCTGGAGAAAGCTAGGGGGAAAGTGCCCTTGGCCGGGAATGCAGTGAGCTCAGGTAATTAATTGATGGAAAATACCAAATCCAGGGGATCTCTGAGGCATCTTATAAAGGTCTCAAAGCTACACACTCACCCTTCAATGGATCTGTAACTGACCAATTCTGCTGGGTTCTGTCGGTGCTCTACGGATTATCTGGATAAAGGGATCTGCCCCCTACAGCTTGGAAACACATCTAAATTGCACCCCCAATGAATGAATGGACATCATTTTGAAACAAGATCCTTCAGCTACAATTGAATATCTAGATGGGGTGCCTGGGTGGCTCAGTCAGTTAAGCATACAACTCTTGATTTCAGCTTGGGTCATGACATCAAACTCTGTGTCAGGCTCTGTGCTGGTGGCATGAGCCTCTTTGGGATTCCCTTTCACCCTCCCTCTCTGCCCCTCCCCTGCTTATGTGCCCACCTTCTCCCTCTCTCTCAAAAATAAAATAAACATTAAAAAACAAAACAATTCAATATCTGTTTCCTTGATGGGGGAAACAAGACTTAATTAACCAGCTTTTCTGGGGTTAAGCATAGGGAAAGCCTACATATTTTTTTTTCAATGATAGCTTTTTCATTATATATTTTATTCTTTGAAATTTAAATCACTTTATTGTTTTTATTCTCTATGCTGTACTTTTTATCCCTGTGACTTATTCATTCCATAACTGGAAGCCTGTACCTCCTACTTGCCTTCACCCTTTTGCCCATTTCCCTACCTACCTCCCCTCTGAAATCTATAAATAAATTCTGCATTTAGAGCATGAAATCTGAGTAAGAAGAGGTAGGTAGATGATTTATCAAATTCAGAATATGCAGATGAACATGTAAGTGTCATTGACCACAGGGTAAACCAGGATCATGAAGCATTTGGGGAGTTGGTGGCAGAAATGTAAATGGAACCCGGGTTCTGGGTTCTAATCTTCTGTAGTTACTCTACTGCCATGATTCTCAAATGCTGCAAATGGACAGGATGGGTGGAAGCAGTTTTTCAAGCTATGAAGTTTGAAAAAGCTCTTACCCCTCCTTACCCTCAGTTGACATCCACTGATCTACAATTCATCTTATGTTGCCTTGGATCTTTTTGACACCTCTTCAAATAAAATTTTAAAAGCCAAACCAAAGCAAAACAAACATGAGTTTTATAACTCAAGCTGGAGAATGGTTCTCCTTATTTAGAAGCAGGCAACAGAAGAGCCATACAGAACAGAATGACTCCTGAATCAGCAAACCCCACAAGTTTGGATGATGCAAAACCAAGAGACTGTGGCTGGGATCAGTCTCATTCACTGGCAAGAAGCCGCCCAATAAATCACAAGATAGAACCATTTTAAGGCCTCTCTCTTCTAAAATAGAAGAGAGGAGTGTGTCAGACTTGTATTTATTCCGAAACGAATGAAGACAAGTAAATTCTTTTAGAATTTCAATCTGTGGCAAGTAAGTAACTTGAACAAGATGACAAAACTATTCTCCACCAAATGAGGGTGAACTGAAGGTGTATTGCCCCTGCAAAACATGCTCATATCAGCATCCCTCCTGCCAAGAGCAAAAGGTAACAGTGGGGCTTTAGTAGGGTAATAACATCAGGAAAACATTAAGAGGAACCTGGAGAAGACTAAGGCTTATCTTGGCATCAGCATTCTGGAAGTACCGTGGCTGTATCAGCATAGCTATTAAACACCTTATCTGAAATAATATGAAACTCAGAGTCATCAAGTAGAATCATGTGCATTTTAGAGTTTGAATGGACCCTAGAGAAGTTATCCAGATGGAGAAACTGAGTCCCTCCTCTCAACTCAAAGTATTCCCACTGAGTATCCCCATTGTCTGAATCCTCTAAACTGGGCTTCATGACCACAGGGACTGTATTTTTTTTTCATCTTTGAATTCCTAACGACTAGCATGTCATAAGTGTCCAATAATATTTGTCAAACCAAGCAGAAGAAGCAAAAGTGTAAATCCTAGGGAAATAGGAGGCAAAAATATAGGGAGGAAAAATCCTTCTCTGATCTCTTCTTAGGGCATGGCAGGGCAAAATCAGCCAAAAAAGCAAAAGTGCATTTGACCTCAGTGTATGTCTCTTTTTAGGTGAACACCCCAAGTCACATTAGCATTTGCTAGACTGGCCAGTGCTATCACTTCTATCAATGCTACTATCAATGTGGCTTGCTTATTTTGTCTTATTTGAGTATTAGAATGAGTTCATTCACAATTAAGTCTCCTGCTTTAGTTATGGCAGAAACAAAAATTGGGCAGACAAGTGATTTTCATTCAAGGATCTCAGACATGTTTCACTTTTGAAACCTGAGGTATTAAGGGAACGTCAAAACAGCATTGTTGGAAGTTAAAAGTATAGGTTATCTCCTCATGGAAAAAGATGAAATGTAATTCTACCTACATGATGATTACAATGGTTCATCAGACTTGGTAACTGCTGGGAAACAATCATATCTTTTCTGTATCTAAATTATTTGGTCTTTTCCTTGAAAAGACTGAAAATACTATGAACCCTTAATTTCAATGGCACAAAGAATAGTGCATTGCATATTTATAAGTCAGCCACAGGGCAAAGGGAAGCAATAAATAATTAAGTATTACGTTTTCTTAAGAAGTATTTTTTAAATATCTTTGTGCTTTTCCATTTTCTTTCCGAAGCCAAGTAACCCTATGACATTTCAAACTAAAATAACTACACATGCAATTTTTATGTAGACGCTACGATGACTTTTTTTAGAACCAAGTGCAATTAACCACATACAGCATATTATTCATTGTTCTATGACCTTTGTTATTTAATTTCATACTCTGAAAATGTTTGTTTCTAAATTTAGTCAGGAAAATGAGGGACTGTCACGATTGCTGTGTTGTTGTCTGTATATTACCATGGATTATACCTGGATGAGTTTTCAAATGTGGATGTTAACAAAATATATATTGTTGGGGCCCCTGGGTGGCTCCATCAGTTGAGCGTCTGACTTCGGCTCAGGTCACGATCTCAGGCTTTGGGGGTTCAAGCCCCGTGTCAGGCTCTGTGCTGACAGCTCAGAGCCTGAAGCCTGGTTCAGATTCTGTGTCTCCCTCTCTCTCTTCTCCTCCCCTGTTCACATACACACACACACACACACACACACACTCTCTCTCTCTCTCTCTCTCAATCTCTCTCTCTCTCTCTCTCAAAAATTAATAAACATTAATAAAAATTGTTTGCCTACTTTGGCATGTGAAAGGTTTAACAAAGCCTGGTAATTTGGATTTACAGAGAGATTCCCTATCCAAGGTCCAAAAAAAAAAACATTCTAAGTAACTGCAAAGGACAGTGCCTGGTGGGGTCAAAGAGAGGAGCCCGTCTATTGCTATTGGGGCCAAAAGCCAGTGGCTGTTGATGTCCCTGAAACTCACCATTGCACCCTCTCACTGTCCCTCCTCTCCCATTGCCTCCAGAGACCGTGATGTGGCTGGTCTAGATCTGGAGTAAAGAAAAAACATTATTTTTTTAAGTTATACAATCCCTTCTTTCAAACAAAAACAAAACCAAGAACACAACTTACACTAGACATGAGGCAACAATTAACTGCTGTGGCTGCTGTGTGGTTTTGGGAGTGGGGGTCAGACACACCTCAGTGGAACCAAGAGGTGCCTGGAATGGAATTTCAGAATCACTGCTCCAAGTGTGCCGCCACCAGAAGTCAGGTCACCTTCCCTACTGCCCAGGCTGGAGCCACATGCGCGGTGGGTCAAGTTGTGCCCTGTGCTTGGTGCCCAGACAAGGGAGCTGCCGAGGACTAAAATCCAGGCCTTGTTCCCCTTGCCAGATCCAGCTTCCTGGCCCAGGGCTGGCTGCTTCTGCAAGGAGGAAAGAGTGCCTTTCATGTTTCATCTGCCTGAAGGGGACACAAAGTCTTAGCAGCTGGCAAGGCCCAGGCCCAAGGCTGAGCTGTTTTTGAGAGAGCTTTTGCCCCCACTCCTGTCTTGATCTTTCAGGCCTGTGTGTCCTTGGGGTTGTACTACCCCCACTAGGGTGAGGAGCCCCCAGATCAGCACCAAGTCCTGGCCGTCAAGTCCTGAGTTGGAGGCCATCACTGTGAAGTAGGGGAGGAGGCTCCCTAACGGCCCCTGCCACAGGCACTGAGAAATGGGAGTGCCTAGGGCCCTTTCCTGCTTTGGGCTTGTTCCTGCTTCTCAGCTCCCTCTTCCTCCCTTCTTGCCACACCTTCACCCCAAAGGAAAAGAGTCATAAACCTTACCCACCTCCAAGGCTGTAGGGGTGTGGTTCACTTTTCCCTCTTTGGTGAATTTTAAGTGTGCTCAGAGGATTATGACTACCCTAAGGAATTCCTGAAATTTTTATTTTTATTTTCGGAGAGAAAGGCGTAGATTCAAGCCTTCCCTTGAGGTCCCCTATGCATCCTTTATATT